TTTTTTTTTTTTTTTTTTTTCTATTTTTAGGAGAGATGATCTCACTCTTGGCTCAGGTTGGTCTCGAACTCCTGACCTCAGGCAATCTTCCTGCCCCGGCCTCCCAAAGTTCTAGGATTACAGGCTTGAGCCACCGCGCCCGGCCTAGGCTCTATCTTAAAATAAATCCATTATCTGACCACTTCTCACCACCTCCAGGTGGATTATTGCAGTAGCCCACTGTTTGGTCTCTGATCCTCTACCCTTGCCCACGTCCATGCCAGAGGGATGCTGTGAAAGTCTCAGTTTGCTCAATAGCACCACTTAGCACAGAGCCCTTCCAGGCTTCCCTTCTCTGTCAGAGTCAAATTCCGAGTTGTGAGTGTGGCCTGCAGGACCTGGCCCCACGGCACCTTCTGCCTTCATCCTCGACACTCTCCCCTTGACTCACTCCGCCCCATCCACACTTGCTCCTCACCCTTCCGCTGGCATGTGAACCTTCCCTCTACCTGGATCTCTCCTCCCCAGATATTTGCTGAGTCCCTTCCTTCGGGTATCCACTTAGGGGCACCTCCTCAGAGAGGCCTCCTGATTGCCCTTCCGAGAATAGTGTCCCCTGACGCCCTCACCCTGCTTCATATTTTGTCATCACTGTCAGACTTACTGCGTATCTGTCTGGATGTTGCTTATTAAGCGAAGCCTCGCAAATGGAATCTAAGCTCCACAAGGGTAGGGAGTCTTGTCACTCTGATCTGTATTCTGTCACCAGAGAGTCTGTCTCGTAGAAGGGCCTAGATAGTACTTACTGATGAATAGTTGAGACACTCAGACACACTTTTAGGTAGTTCACGCCTGACTGTTCCTGTGTCTTTCCTGCTACAGCCTTTCTTTCAGTGGGCTCATTCTTTATTTTATTTTGTTTTATTTTATAGACAGGGTCTCGCTCTGTTACCCAGGCTAGAGTGCAGTGGTGCAATCAAAGATCACTGCAGCCTTGAACGCCTGGGCTCAAGGGATCCTCCCACCTCAGCCTCCCAAGTAGCTAGGACTACAGATATGAGGCACCACACCCAGCTTTTTTTTTTTTTTTTCGAAATGGGGTCTCGCTATGTTGCTCAGTCTGGTCTTAAACTTCTGGCCTCAAATGCTCCTCCCACCTCAGCCTCCCCAAATGCTGGGATGATAGGTGTGAGCCAGCATGCCCAGCCAATAGGCTCATTCTTGACCAGCAAGTAGCCGTGGTCACCAGGCAGGCCACCCAGCATCCCTACAGGACCTCCCCCAAGTACAGACTGCAGCACCAAGAGGGCAGTCACTGGGCAGCTTCAGCTATTCAGCTATATCCCCCTTCCCCAACAAAGGCCTCGGGGCAGGTGTAGGAATTTAAGTCTTTGCTAGTGGGTCTATATTTTATCCATTTCTGAGCCTTCAGTGCTCCACCTGATTTTACCCATGAGTCAAAACA